CAGCCGCCAGCTGCCCCCTCTCCCCCACCTCCAGATTCTCCCCCCCAAACAAGCTACAGGATGGGGTTTGCAGCCAAAGCACTACCCCCCTCAGACCAGCTGCAGGACAGGGGGGGCAACTGGAAGCTGGGGCCAGCCTCCCAACAGGCTGCAGAATGGGATGGCCACCACCCCAAGGAGGGTCCCACCCTGGAGCAGCTGCAAGATGGAGAGAAAGTTGTGCTAGCATGTTGGTTAGGTATGTGATAGTTTAGACACAATTAAAGCAATATAAATGTCAATATACTGGTATACAAACGTGCAGACCTGGATTTCTCCCCAAGAGGAGCTACCCTCTGGGGAGCACAGCCCCAACACCTTGGGAGAAATGGTGGCTGGGAACACTGCCATGGTTCCCTGGGAAAAGCTGCCACCAATGCAACATCACCCTCACCAACACAGGCACACACTGCCCAGCCCCATGTCTTGAACTCCCTGCCCAAAGTCCTCCGCCTCCCAAATGCCTTGACTTCCGCACCCCCACCTCCTTTCCTGTGAGCCCCTCACCTCCTTCTCCCTACCCTGAGGCCACCATCCTATGAGTTGAGTCCCCCCACACTACCCGAACCTCTGCTCTAAGCCACCTACCCTCTGCCTCTCCTTACCCCTGAACTCTCACTCCAGCCTTCATTTTTCTTTATTTCAATGACTATTTTTTCAAAACGAAGCATGTACATTTTTCATTTATTTTCCAAAAAAGACAAAACAGAACAAAACCCACCTTCAGTTAAAGACCCAAGCAACTCCAGGTACATCTGCTAGTTATCACATATTCCAGTGGTTCGCAACCATTTTTATAGGGTGGACCAGCAAACCATTTTCACAAACTTTTGGGTGGACCAGTAACATCCTATTTGCATATTTATATATTCATTATGCAATGAATTAATATGCAAATACATAAAGAAAGTGTTACTGGTTCACCAAAATTCCCAGCCCACAGAGCCGCCATGAACAGCTGGCTTCAACTCCAGCAGTCTCCACATGGCAGGCGACTACAACAACTAAATCTGGCTGTTCACAGCAGCTCTGGAGGCCAGAATTGGGATACAGCCCAGCCCCCTCGGCCCCCCACTGCCAACCCTAACCCCTAGAGCCCCCCACTCGCCCTAACCCTTAGAGCCCCCAACCCTCCACTACCCCCTAGCACCAGCCACTGACCCGAGTCCCCTGCACTCAACCCCCCCAGTGCCAGCCTCCCCATCCTCAGAGCCCCTCAGTGCCAGCCCCCATCCCAAATGCCTCAGTGCCAGCCCTCTGCCCCTTAGAGCTCCCCACTACCAGACCCCCCCCCAGTGCCACCCTCCTGTTTCCAGAGCCCCACTCCACCCCATCCCCAACCCCAGTTCCCAATATTAGCCCCATCCCAGGACTCTCCAGTTCCAGCCCTGCCCCCGTAGGCCTCCCATTACTAGCCCCACCTCCAGAGCCCCCCAGTGACAGCCTCCCACCCCCAGAGCCCCAAGCACTAGCCCCACCCCCTCACTTAGTCCTGCACTGCCTCTCAGCCACCAGCTGAGCACTGTTGTCCATGTTAGGGCTGCTCCAAGGTTGTCATGCTAGGTTCTGCATGGCCTTCCCACTGCACAGTGAGCTGCTCTTCCACATCCAGGAGACTCTACCCTTTCCCAGAACTAACTAGCTGAGAGGCGGACAGGACATGCCTCTCCCAACAGCCACAGCAGTAGGGGAGGCGCTGGGTGGTGTATCCCAGCCCTAGCTCCCAGAACTGCCGTGGCCCAACAGCCAGAGGTTCGTGACCCGGCACCGATCCACGGACCAGAAGTTGGGAAACCGCTGACATATTCTATTTGTTTCATCATGCTTATAAAAGTTTATAAAACATATGAAAAAATTGACTCTTTACCAAAAAAATCCTGTTTGGTATGAATATATGGAATAGCTAATGCATTATTATAGCTAAAGTCTAAAAACACTGTAATTACTTGTCTGTTTTGATTTACATTGACTTACCAAATACCGTGGATGATATTGTAGCAATCTTATTTCCAAACAAATGAAGCTTTTGCAGTGAACTGAGATGTTTCAGCTGTTCTGGAATTTCCTCAAAGACATTGTTTCCCAAATTAAATTCCATCAACTATAAAGAGATGTTCATAAATGTTCTTACACACTGTATCCTCCTTAGTAAAGACAGACTGAAAAAATAAACTCATCCTATTTTAAACATAGATGTCCAGCAAATTAAGACCTTTATTAAATTTTCCTTCTATTCTCCGTATATTACAGAAAAATCAATGCCTATATTCAAAATACATATAATAAAACAATGTCATATAGTATACAATTATCAGTGCAGAACTTCTATTTTACTCTTCTAGCCAGTTAATATAAAATAACTGAATTCAACTGCCAACAAAATATGTAACAACCCAATAACACCAAGATACAGGGGCTAGATTCTGTTTTTATTTATGCAAATATAAATTGAGAGTAACGGCTGAAATCAAGTTACTGATGTAACTAACTGAACAGTGTTAAGGTGAATTCAGTGCTGTGTGGAAGGGTGGGGGTAAGAGAACGTCAATCCCATCTCGGACTTAGTGCCGTTTATTTAGAATACAGACACATTCGCACTCTCAAGACTCCCCAGAAGAGAAATCCGATCCCTTACACAGATCACACAAACCGCCCTAACGGCTGAAATCAAGTTACTGATGTAACTAACTGAACAGTGTTAAGGTGAATTCAGTGCTGTGTGGAAGGGTGGGGGTAAGAGAACGTCAATCCCATCTCGGACTTAGTGCCGTTTATTTAGAATACAGACACATTCGCACTCTCAAGACTCCCCAGAAGAGAAATCCGATCCCTTACACAGATCACACAAACCGCCCTGAATCCCCAAGGCGGGGCCGGTAAACTCTAGGTCTAGGGCGCCCAGGGGCCGGTAGGTGGCGGGGCCCGCA